GCTCTGTTGCAGTTTCATCCTAGTCTTGAGTTCCTACAAGACCCCCAAACCTTAAGTGTGCACTGGCATTACATTTCACCTGCCCAGACACAGATCACTTCTGCCTGGTAGGCCCTCACACAGCAATGGAGCTGCACAGAGTGGGCTCATCTCTAGTGCCAGACAGACCTCTTTAGACTGTTGGTAATCTTGAAGGGATGACAAGCAGCTTTCTATCTAGCCCATTACATGCAGAATTCATAGCTCTCTGTCTACTTATTCCATAGGAAAGACAGACCCACTTTGATCTCTATTGCGGACATTGAAAATGAGCTTTACACAGAGCAGGTGACATCAGCACTCTCCAGGACTTGCCAGCTTCAGACAACTAGTACAAGTTGATTTACCCTCTCTTTTCAAAGGCAGGTGCTTTGTGATCGCAGAAGCACCTGAATGTTGGGGTGCAGAAATTCCATAACCTAGGGTGAACCCAAGAAAAGCAAAAATAAAAACCCTCTGCATACCATTACTTATGGTGGGCCTGAGGTAAAAGTCAGCAACTGTTTGTAGAAGAAGGCACAAAACAAACAGGTCTGCAGAGTCCACTAGTCACTGAGGCCATAGAGCAGAAGCTCCACAGATTCAACTAAATTCAGGTGGAGGGAAAGAGAAATGTGGCAGAGAAAGAGGGTGAGCTCTTAACTCCCCCAGACTAAGAGGTGAGTGGCAGCACAAGCAGCTTGATAATCTCAAAGACGCTAAATCTCTGGAAAGCAAGGGGGGTGGCACTTAAACAGCATCTTGTCATCAGTGCTCCCAGGAAATCCACTGATCATCACAGCAAAGGATTAACATGTTTAAGAAGTAATAGCAAAATGAACAAACATCAGAGAAAACTCTTGTCCCAGTGTAATGCACAAACAGCGTAAGGCAGGACCTGTGGCCAGCAGTCCTTAAATTAACAAATGAGCTGCACATGAGGAAAATCCCTACATTTCAGATCCTCAGAAGGAAGATTCACTACACAGTGGACTGAAGTCTGCCTCAGTTGCTCAAAGGAAAGTTGTATTTCTAAAAAGCATCAACAGGACTAGCATAGCGCCTCATGAGTTATCTTTGTACCAGTGAAACATTGCAAAGCACTTTTCAAACTGGATACAACAGTGGGTTAAAGTAGTACAGAATGAAGAAACTTGTCCAAGATCTCAGAACATGCAAGCAACTCAGGAACAGACCCTTGCAGAAACTGGGACAGAACAATGTCCTTACATGATGATGTACTGCATGATTTCTTGGGCTTTAAATTCATTTATGTCAAGGATTACCTTAAAGGCAGGAAATTCAGCTGCTTGCCTATCTGGTCCAACATTTAAGCCACACTGAAACTGAAGAATCTACAGCTCTAAGTAAGTCTGCACTTTAAAATGGCATTCTGGTCAGCTGAGGTAACAGCAATTTGAGTTTTGCAGTTCACATGCAGAGATAAATTCCAGTACTCCTTCCTCTGTCTACATCAAACTCACCAATAACATAGAGAACACATCATGCTTTTCAAAAAGGGAGCACTCCCACACTTAGTAGAGGCTAAAATAAGTAAAACTTATGGAATTAAATGACACATATCCCAAACTGACCTTATTTTAAGCACAGTGGTTTTTGGTAGCTTTCTAGAGGGAGAGCCTGAAAGAACTCTGGAAAGCACTATCAAGTCCTCTCAAATGAACAGAAGTGACTACTGGGGCACCTTTAAGGAAGCAGCTTTGCAGGTAAACACGATCTAGGTGGACTCCCGATAGAGCTTCCATGCTGTTAGGCAGATAAATAAACTGGTTTCACACAAAGCTGTTGAGAGAGCATGCCCTGATTTTATGAAGCAAGCTACAAGGCCATGCACAACTCCAAGGAGCAAATCAACTAACAAACTATTACCAGTTTAAAAACTGACCCAACTGAGGCCATTGTGAGGCCTCATCACTGCATAACAGCACTGTGCAACTCTCCTCTTGATTACAAGCAGAAATGCACAAGAGGTGGCTTCTCCAGTGTCTGTCTCTGCAACCAGTGTTGAACAGAGTGTTGACAGAAATCTAACTAAATCTTGTTCTTCCTCCACAGCCATTGTAAAAATATTCAAGCTTCATGCAGAGTTCAGACATGATCTTTATTAATTATTATTCTCACTACAGGAAATTAGTGATACATAATTAATCCTAACAGGTATCTTTAACTGGGCTTCATTAAGTACATTTAATAGTTATCACCAGACCTCAGCCCTGAAGCTCTCATTCTGCTCCTTGGAAGAAACTGAATGCCTGCTACCTCACTCTGATGTAAGGTTTTTGATAACCCATCTCCAAGAACCCAGGTTCACATTTTTGGCCTGATCCCACTCACCTGTATTAGGTGACTTCCTCTAACCCTTTTTGGTAACATGAAAGTAGGAAATTATCACTTGCCTGTGAACTCAGGAAAGAATTTGGACTAAACAGCATGTGTCCACTGGCCAACATCAAGCTGCATTGGGATGACAGATCCAGACAAATTCATATTGCACCCATCCACACCACACTCAGTGTTATTGTGGCCAGTCATGAAAAGCAAAGCCAGCAGCATATAAAAATCTGAATGCACAAAGAAGACCAATACTATTGAACAAGCCCCACTTGCCGCTAATTAACATTAAGGCTGGCCAGAACCTGCTGTGATTCAAACCTGCGCTCTCTGCTCAAGCAAAACTTGAGGGAAGCCTGGCAAGACCCTAACTGAACCACAGGGGCAGGAAAAGCTGTCTGGATCCGGGACCTGCTTTCATAGCACATGGTGACAGAGAACAGTCCGCATCAGACCATGTGAGTTGGGAATGGTATCCAGGAGCTAATCACACAGTGAACTCTTGTGCCTTTTGCTTGTTTTATGAAAAAGTGATTCTACCAACTAATTTCAAATCAAAGTTTTTCCTAATCAGGAAAGAAAGAAAATTCATGTCATATGATGCTCAGTAGGAATTAATCAGAAACACAGTCCTGAAAGCGTAAGCCTTTTTAGTTAATCAAAAAGTTGCCACCAGCTAATGTGCAAGACAGTAATGATTAGCCATCTGGTGAAAGTTCCTGCTAAGCTTGCCATCTTACCCACTATGCTGAGGAAAGCAGAAGGTGGATCAATTACATTCTGTCCCTGCCTGCAATTGTGTGGTCATCCTTAGGAACAAGACACAAAGCTTTCCAATGCAACCAGGAATTCTAACTGTTCTGACTTTTCAGCAGCCTTTTCCTTTTTTTTTTTTTTTATGGCTGCATCACACCTATATTATTTAAAATAAAAATCACCTATTGCCTTTCTGAAAGCTGAATTTATACTCAAAGCTTATCGACCTTCGTTATTTTTGCCCCTTTGTTTCCTTCTGCAAAAATTGCAGCTGCCAGGAGGCTTCCCAGTCATCTAAAGAGCATCTGTAAACAAGAGAAGAGACAGATGGCTGCAGCTCAGTTTAAACCAGCACAAGATCCAGCCGCTCCCCTGCATCACAAGTATTGCCCGTAAGATACAAGATATATGCACAGAACCAAACAGGAATGCAGCAGTCCCAGACAGAAAACAACTATGTATATACAATCTGATTAGGAAGAAGTCATTGTGAAGACAGGCTGCTGAGGTTTCATGTACAGTGAGCATCCACTATAACTGTACAGCCTTCCAAACATACAATGGGATGTAAGGATGGAGGGGGGGCAGGGAAGAGTTCTCTCTCCATCATTGCTCTCGAAAGTATTGCTGGAAAAAAAACAAACAAACAAACCACAAAAAAAAAAAACAAAACCAACAACAAACAGGGAAAGTAAAACCAGGCATCTCCTTCCAGCAAGGTCCTCTTCTGAGAGCTAACAGACCAGACTCACACAACCTGAGAAAGTGGCATCTCTAATAGACCTCCCAATTCACCTATTATTCAGGAATTCAGTCACACTGACAAATCACGTTAACCCCTTACTAAAATGACAGATTCAAAGGGACAAAGAAAGAATCTATCTATCTACGAGACAGAAAACTCACTTCTAGAAGTCCATCAAAACAATCATGCTTTTCTTTTTTTTTTCCTGGATTTGACTGGTTTTCATTGCATTGGAGACACAGTGTTTTCCACTGCACTGGAGAATTCTGGTGTTAGCACAAGATCCTATTTACATTATGTGCCTTGCTAAATAAATCTGGATGACCACATGGATTTACCGAATGTATCTGAATCAACAGAGTTCACTGTTTGCCTCTTCCACCAACTATAAACCACTGTGATTCTCCAGACACACCTGCACAGCTCATGGGTTCAAACACTGCCCATTCTTCTTCAAACAAAGATTTTGACTCTGCTGAAATTAAATTAACAGCTCTCCCCCAGGGCCTCCTGATATTCCAAGTTCTTCCTTCACTTAGTGACAGCAGAAAGCTTCAAGAACAGGGTTGCTCAATCATTACCTCCAATCAGCTCTAATTGAAGGATGACATGAGACAGAGGGAGAAATGAGCATTCCAATTAATACAGACAGGAAAAAACATGATTGTGGGAACAGAAGCATTATTGGTAAAGCTCCAGCAAAACCCTCAGGTTGTAGCATGTTGGCACACTGTCACCTCTGAGATAGTTTAACTACTCAGTGCAAGGATACAAGGAAGGGAACAACCTGGTAGTGAATGCTGAACAGTTCTGGGCCCTTTTTACCTCAGTGTTCACAGTGAAACTTTAAAGAACTGATTAACATGGGACTCCTGTAACTGATACTCTCAAAGAAGCCTGAATCAACCCTTCTGGGAATCCAATCTGCATTCCTGCAGTCTGATGGGTGCTTCTGCAGGACCTTCCCAAAATAGGACAACCACAACACAAACTTCTCACATTAAACAGTTGCCCCCTTAGAGCAATTCACCAAGGGTCACTTAAAAAACCTCTCCCATTCACCTCCACCATGCTATTTTCCACTCCATTTCAAACCATTTATAAGACTAAACAAAAAGCTGGTACCCACCTGTATCCCCATGGAAGCAGCTGTCCTGGTGACATCTCCCAGAAGGCAAATCTCCATCACTTGGCCAGATCTGTCCTGTTTTTCGTACGCCCACAATAGTAGCCTCAGACACAATGACCTGCTGCTGCCTGTGCCGTTTCTGAGACTGGGGGGTTGGTGGACTGCTACTGTCAAAGGACTGCTGAGAGTTTTGCGAGGGGGAACGGCTTTTGTCCCGATACATGCGATAAGTGGTGGGGCTGGGGGAGACATGGCTGGACTGCCCTGAGGAGAAGTCTTCCTCACTGGAGGTGAGGTTCTCATTAGAGCTACAATCTGGAGTATATCCTCCTCCAATATCTTCAAAACTCCGGGGGGAATAAGATCTCCTGGGCCACGTGAGATGTTTTTCCTGATCAGTTGTGCCCTGATTTCGCAGAATAGGTCCTTTTCCTTCTCCTTCCCCCATCATTCCACCAACATAGATACTTTGATAGGGCTGAAAGTCCATGGGCTGCCAAGGTGAGCGGTTGCTGCCATTGGCATTAATCAAGTTATCTTTGAGAAACCTGGGGTTCAGTTCAGCATCCTCATATTCTCCATCATAACCAAAGCTGCTCTCCGAGGACCTTCCCCTATAAGCAGGCCTCTGGAACTCGGTGAAGCTGGGTACCATGTTAGAAGGGAGGGAGTGCAAAGACTTTTTGCGTTCCATTTGCATGGCTTGGCTACCAAGGGAGCTTATTTTATCAGAGACATCTTTATCGTTGACCTTTACTAGACCCTTCTCATGATGATACTCCATGTTCACGTAAAAGGGCTTTTCAACAACATCCTTGTTATCTCCAGAAGAATGCGAATTGACCTTTTTAATCCTCTCAAAATTGGACCTTAGGGCTGCCACACTGGTGCTGTTCCCTCTCTCCTTAGAGATAGGTTCAAATGATGCCTCCTTCTCAGCAGATCCCACTAGCCTGCGAGTGGAAGCCGATCTGTGTTTTGAAGGAGAGCCATCTGTATCACAGCGATTCTCCATATCTTCTACAACTCTCTTCAGTTTCTCTTCACCATAGTACTTACACCTGTCCTGCTCTCCCTCTGCATGATGGGGGCTGTCCAAAGGCGACAGGTCTGACCCATCACTCTGGGTCGACAACTTCCGCAGAGAGGGTATCCTCGGTTTGAACTTTTCCTCCCCGTGGTGTGACTTGCTTTTTTCATATTCATCTTGGTCAGCAGACTGGTGTTGCAGGTCTTGGATCTGCTGCTCTGCACCCCCTTCAGGCAACTGAGAAACACGTTTAAAACCCCATCGCTGTCTATCATAGCTTTTTTTCTCCTTTGCCAAAAGAGTCTGCAGGTAAATCATGCGGAACCTCTCCTTGTTGACCTCCATCTCCAGTCTCCGGATAGATGCTTTGCACATCTCCAGCTCCTGTTCAATGTCTCCCACAGATTTCAGCTCCATTTTAGGAGGCTCAGAGTCTGCAAATTGTGCTTTCCAAGCCTCCACAAACCCCACAGGGTCCACCATTTTGCATACAGGAGTATGTGGAGAACACGGGAAGGAGGCTAGAGAGAGATAACTGGAGAGAAGAAACCAACCGGATCTCACATGTAGAGGCAGAAACAGCTCCGGCAGGGTCAACTCAACGCGTCTCTTTCACGGTCCATGCAGGGAAACCGGGAGGCAAACAGCAATCCTCGCAGCAGTCTCTCCTCCCCGTCTCCTTGCAGCTTTTGCCGGCCCGTGCCCCTTCGTATACTCGCTACTCTCTCCCCGGCATGCCTGATCCTTTGCTAACGTACAACAATGCTCCCACCCCGGCGATCCCAGAAGCACTTCAAAGTGGGTGGACAAAGGAGCAGGCTCAGGGCGGGGGAAGGAAGGTAAATATCTTCCCCCCAGCCACCCACCCACCTCCTGCCGCTGCCGTCCGGGCGCGGTGCTCAGCGCAGCCACGCTGGGGAGTCCTCTGCTCCGTCCTCCCCTCGCCAGCCCCCGTGTTGTGCTTTCTCTTTCTCTCCTCCTTTCCCCCTGCCCCTTTCCCTGTCTCCTCCTCCCGGCTATTGTGCTGTGCTCCGGGCGCACACGCTCTCCGGAACCCCCGCGCTGAGCGCCGAGCCGGCGGCGCGTCCCGCGGCCAACTCCGCCGCTACCCCTCTGTGCCCGGGCGCCCCGCGGCCCCGCGAGAACCCTCTCGGCTCGGCTGCTGACGGGACGACAGCGGCTGCCCGCGGCTGCCCATTGCGCGGCCCAGCTCTGTCGGCGGCGCCCCGAATCGCAGCGCTGCGGAAGGGGAGGAGAGGGAAGAGCCCGGCGCAGCGGCTGACACGGAGCTGGGGCCTCTTAAAGGGGCAGCCCGGCCCGGGAGCAGGAGGCCGTGCCCTCGGGACCCCCCTGAATTGCGGGGCCCGGCCCTGCGCCCTTCCCCGCGGATGCCGGGGAGACAAAGGCAGAGAGCTGTACATGTTGTCCCTGTGCCTGCGGCCGCGGGCTCGACCATCCCCACATAGCTATACCTAAGGCTGGGCAAGAACACAGCATGCACACAGGGATGTGTGCACAGGGGTGTATCCATTCTTGTCCACACATCCATATATTATGTGTAACACCAGCACGTTTCTACTCTGTCTTGTGTTCACAGCAACACTCTCCCCCAGGCACTGATGCAGCTCACCTTCAAAGGTCACGTTTCCCCCACTAATGTAAATCCTGTTTAGTAGTAGGCTTGTCATTCCCTCAGTCCTTTCTTTCTTGCCAATAAATGACAAGCTGGATGTCTGAGATGGGCAACTGGTACTCCAAAATCACCATGATATTAACAATACAGGATGGTTTGTGCCTTTTTTTCACGCATTTTCTCACTTTTTGTCCAGTATATTATCCTAGCCCAAACAATTTGTCCCACAAATGAGGTGTGAGTCCTACACCTCAGCTCTGGCCGAAGGGTGGTAGATGATTTAAACAAGTCTGCCTGCTGAGTATCTCTCCTGAAATGACAGTACAGCCCTTCATCCTTTTCATGTACTAATTCAACCTCTGAAAAAGTGGTAATAATTACACCTGAAGTTCCAGCTCCCTATTTGGATGATAGTGGAGTGTGCGCTATATACACCTCATATCCCCATAAACTTGCTTCTCTCATGTCTATGGTGAAGTATATCTTTTCTGGAATGTGTTACTAAAAAGGAAGGTGGGACATAGCCCCAGCAAGAACAAATAAAATCCCATAAGAATGAAAAGCAGAAGCCCACATGAGCAGTTGTCTTACCTTTGAGACATGTAATGTTTCAGAACCCATCAATCAGTTTTTCTCTTCATGCTTTTTTATATGCCAAACAAAATATTTCTGGGTGTTTTCAGACCTATCACAAATGGCTCATCACATATCCAGTCTTGGGTTCATCCCTCTTGGATTTTGTTTTCTGGTTTTAATCTCTTTTCCTGCACATGATTCCTCAGCTTTTAACACATAAGAGGCATTGGCTGACCTATATGGAAAAGAGATTATAATCTAATTCATAATAAAATCTGTATGTTTAGTAAAAACCTCTATAAATCTTTCAAGAAAACTTAGTTTTTCACAGAAATAAAATTAATTGGCTTTTCATCATGGATATTGTCTGCTATTTGTTTGCCTTAGTGCCAGTTTGAACATTAAACAGCTGTACCCTCTTTATCTGCTGAGATACTACAACATCAGAAATTTCAGTTGGAATCAAAGGGATCACTGATTTTCTGTTGGATGCTTTATGCATTCAACAGAGTGTTATTTTAATAGGAGACAAAATTTCATTAAGACTATAGTAGTAAACACACATCTGTGATTTGAGACTGAGAATCCTGTGATGAGGAGCCTAAGCTACAAGGAAGAGTGCCCAGCACATACCCTCTGCCGGCCTTCAAGAGACTGCAAAGCCCTTCTCAGTCGAATCGCAAGTAGTACTACAGTGACTATCGAGCTCCCTCTTGTGGGTAAGAGGAGTCAATCTGCTGAGTCTTAAAATCTCTTGAGCTGTCACTTACAAACTTTCTTCAGCATGCTCCCACACGAGAGAAACAGAGATTTTGTAAGTAATAAACCAAAATCAACCAACCAAACAAAACCAAAAGGTAGAACATAAGAAGAGTCTTTTTAAAGAAAAACAAAACATAATTTCTGATTAATCTGTGGCTGAAATTGAGAAACCACATTTTTGTAGCACAAAGCGGTAGAGTTTGATAAGGCCGGTAAGTCTTGGGATGTCCAATCTGACCTATAACATTCTATAAACCTAGAGAAATTGGAACTCTCCTTCTTAGAATTCAAAGACTGGCAATCTCTTGCTGCCAGAACAAACTGCTGGCCAAAAACATGAGAAACTGAGCAACCATCTCTACTACCAAATGCAGATTCTGCTATAACTTCAACTTGCCAAAGACTTCATTCTAACTCATATACTCAGAGGATGCAATACATAGCATTCATTCACCAGTGCATTATATTGTACTCCACAGACCAACCTCTAATTAATGAAAACCCAAAAAAGACACAGGGGGACAGATTTATTAATGAGGAATGGATTCCAGTCATACCACAACAGGATGAGCCTGAACTGGAAACAAATAGGATTAAGAAAGATGTGAATCAAATGACCTGTAAGGATAAAAATATTAATATTAATATTAATATAATGGTTGAATAATCACTCAAAAGGCAGAAACAACATCATTAAAATTTGTAATTTGTAATAAGAAATTAATTTTGCCCATCAGGTAACTTTCTTAAATGGCTTTTGATCCATTACCAGTTGTTTTGCTCAGATATCTGCATACTTACTTCAACAGGAATTCAGTAACACATTAGCTTCTACTTATTGTTCAAGAAACAGCACATTAGTACTTCTTTTGGGAAACTGATTACTACAATTGCTCGTTAGCATTGCTTCAGACTGCCTCCAAATTTCACTTCTCCAATTCCTCACCTGCAACTTTCACAAAAGGAAGCTGGCACTACAACTTTGACACAACCACTGTGAGGTCTTCAACTAGTACAAAAATCACAGTTTAGCCTACTTGTGTTTAGAGTTAATACAGTTGTTCCAGCATTGTTTCCCACAATATTAAGGCATCCTCAAAGCCAACTAAATTGCTGATAGAATGGATTAACATGCATAGATAAAACATAGACTAGATAGAAACATCTAAGAACTTGACAGTTTATGTTTATTTTTCCAAAGTTAGTTTCCTTTGTACTTTCTTAAGCAATTCATCATTCACAACATGATCCAAGATTTCATTTTAGATGATCATCTATTAATACTGAGTTCTTTGCAGGGGAAGTCTCAGTGAGGCTACAAAACACACACCAAAACCAACCAACCAACAACAGCAAAACCCCCAAACCAAAAAAACACAACCTAAAAGTCTCAAAGCATCCATCACAGAATAAATGGAGTCAGACCATTGTTAAGTGATGGTTAATGACTGACAGAGTACTGCATTTGTATGTGAAGTTTTTGGAGCTCCAGAAGGCACAAACCGGTAATGACACCAAGCAGTGTAATGAATCGCTAGAAAAAAACTGTGCCAGCTGATTTTCTGAGCAATACAATTATATTGTTGAAGGGACTGCATCTCTGATTATGTATAATAAATTGAGCTCAGCAACAAAACAAGAGAGAGATTTTGGGGGGAACTAAAAGTGGAATCCCTATTGTTTCTTATACTTGATACTGAGTCATTTTGTAGCTGTAAACACTAACACATCTGCACAGAAACCTAGCACCTAGCCTGGACAAGATTTGCTGCAGCACAGTGAACCAGCTGTTCTACTCTCATTCAAACTCAGTCAACATGAAAGCTATGCTGCCCACTCAGTGTAACACGTGGTACAAGTGGAGTGTATATTCATCATCCTTGTGAAACAGATTTGGGAGATGAACAAAGACATAGATCATCATAAGGTCAAAACGTTACACATTCAGATAAATAGCTCCATACATACTCACACATACTCGTTTTCTCCACCAAATGCTACATTTCTGTCTTTGCCAACAGAACTGGCACAATTGCCAAAGTGAATAAAAAGAGACACAGAGTTCCTAGATCTCTATTCATCTCCACAGGCCCCTTCCAAGCCTCACAATTCTGTGATGTTCCATAAAGCTCCTCTAACTTACATCATAAGAAAATAAAAGCAATAAAAAGTTTTAAGTCTCCTGTTCTCTACTTTTCCTATTTCTCATCAAACAACTGGGGGAGGGGGAAACCAGCAGAGAATTTACAATATTTTCTGTTTGATGCATAGATTTATTAATAAATGTCTTGATTTTCTCAGCACCTCAAATCTGAAAGGTGCTGTCATCATCAGTTTCCCAGGTACTGTTATTTCTGTAATGACTGTCTTAAGAAAATGTAACTGTCCCTAAGTTTTCTTCTTTCTTTCCAGTGTTTTTATGCCAGCAGAGCATATAGTACTGGATTTGAATCTTAGAGTTATAAGCAGCTTCTAGAGAAACAGTCTTTCTGTTGTCTCACTTTGATTTCTTTGGTAATTCTTTCAAATGAGTGCTGACAGTAATTTAAGGACCACAAATGTGTCTGGTTTAGAGCAAGATAAAGATTTACAGTATCTTATCCATATTATAAAAATATCACTGAATAGATACCCAGAACTGAATATTCAAATTCAGTGAGCTGCTGCAAAAATAAGAGGGAAATTAAAACAAGTGTATCTATCTCCCTTTCACTTCTTTTGTACTTCTGAATCTTAAATCTAGTTATCATAATCAATCATACTAATACAATTTCACAAATACTGACAACATTATTTGTCATTTATATTTCTGGCAATGTCATCTGTCAGCAGGGATGACTTTTAAAGCAGAAATATCTTTTGGCATCAGTCATTGTGTCCCAAAGAGCAGAAGAGCATTATTAAAGCTGCTTTACTTTGATGAAATTCAGTGATACCCAGAGCTAATCTTTCTTCATTAAACAATGCCTGTAACTTCTAAATACTAATTGCACAAGATTATGTCAAAGGATATTTAAAAAGGCAAAACCAGTGCAGTGGTTTTTGATCCAGCCAGCACACTAATTCACAACAACATGTCCAGACAGCAGGCTGTACCAGAAGCAGTCAGTAACGACATCTTCAAAAAGCAAGTGCCTTATGGCTTAACAAGCATGTGCCTACTTTGGAGAACTCCATCTTTTCCCATCCCTCTAAACCCACACACACCTCTAAGTCTTTTCACAAAATGGCAAAACCATTTCTCTACATAGCTGCTTTTATTGAGCAGTGGAGCAAGTTGCTTCCAGCATGTAGTGATCAAATTATCTTGTCCAGTAAAAACAGAAAGAGTGACTAGGAATTCAGCAGCAGTATCAAAACTAACCTTACCAGCTTAGAGTTCCTACCTCAGACAGGGATGAACAAGTCCATGACAGAGACAATGTATGGTTCCAGAATCATGTTACATTACTAGAAACAAAAGTTCCAGTTAGAATAAAATGAAAGTCATTACTCTTAGCAACACAATAGAACTGCAGCATAGATAATATTAATGAAGATCAATCCAGAGAAGGAGTCTGCATCTTCTTCTGAAGATAGAAAAACTGGATTTCATGTCTTCCATGCTATGCACCTATGTTATAATTCTCTCTTATTCGAGAGTGGAAAAGAATAGCATTCTTATCTGGTAACATTTTCAATATATTAGATAGCTCGGATAAAACAACAAAGTTTCTATCTGGGCTTCTCTGAGGCTTGGAAATATTTAAACGCTGGGCTCTGAATCGCAAGTGGAAAATGAAAAATAATACAGATTTTTCCTGGATGGAGAAACCACAGCAAAAATTATGCTGCTGCATTTGTGTACTTCCATACCTGTAATTAAAACAGATTTATTTTGGAACAGTTGTAGAATATTTGAAATGCATAAAAGCAAGTCAGAGTTATTCTATACTATGATCTTGAAAGACAAAACCATATAGCTAGCACCTTTATTCTGAACTGCCATTTGTTTTCTGCTCCCTTGACAATACAACCTCACTATCTAAAAGTTGTAGAGAATTATCAAAGAATAATGCACTAAAATTATGTATTTTTCACTACAAGTGTTTCTGGCAGACAGGTGAGCTACATGGCACTGGCAATGTCTTCTTACATTAAGACAAGGATGTTTCGTTTCCACTCAGTGAGAAAGGGTTATATAAGACTGCACCATCCTGCACAAGTGAGCCTGTAGCAGCAAAGAAACTCTCAGAAAGAAAGTTTGGAGTTTTCCTCCTTCATTTCCAAAAATAAAACTTTCTGTTACTGCTTTGAGAACTTTCCTTGTTGCAGGTGTTGTAGGTATGTGTGTCAGTGACACTAGATAATGGTCCGTGGTGGAACAGACAAAAATAGAAAAGTACTGTTTGTCCGTGGTAGCTCCTCCCCAGAAGGTCCCACTTTGGCTCAGCCCTGGAAAACTCCTGACCCTTGGAGACCTTTCTAGATATAGCTGGCCGCTTCTTCTGATGTAGGCTGGCCCCCTATGTTGGAATGAGTGTGAATTTTTGCTAGTATAAAAGCCCAAGCCTCAGGCAATGCAAGGGGGCAGAACCTCATACCACCCAGGTCAATGTTGCCTCCGTGGGGATGCCCGCTAAGGTTGAAGCCTGCCACCTAGCACTGTGATGATGTTTCTCGGAGCTGGTTTCCTGATCGTCATTACATGGTCCTTGGGGTTGGTGAGATAACCAAACATCAGAGATATCCTTTACTGTATCTTTTGTTACCTCTATATTTTCCCCTGTATTAATAAACTAGTTATGATTCTTTATTGTGTTGTGTTTCTCTCAACCTGGAATTCTCAAACTCTGGAACAGTATGCTAGGCTACAGAGCATCATGGTGCTTACAGAAACACTTGACAGTCAGCAACAGCTCGGGCTTACTTGATAGTTGTGTTCTGGGATTTCCATCATGGTTTTCTCCACTTCTGTAGAAACAGAGAATTTATACAATTAATTCACAAGAAATTATACCATCCATTATAAAGGGTAACAAAAGCTGAATGCAGCCCCAGTCACGCCTATCTGCTAAAACTCCTGTAGATAATGACATGAATATGCTTGAGGTGTCTGAAACAGGCTGTAATGCTTGAAAAACCTTCCCAATCTTTCAGACTGTACATGAGGGAAATACACACAAAAAGCAAAACTCAACATACTGATGAGGTTTCCTGACCCAATTTGGGCGATGTGCCCAGAAATTTTCTCCAGCTACGTTATCACGGACTGTTCAAAGGCCAAGATAGAAACTTGGGAAAGGAATTCTTTGACAATCTCCCCTAGGAAACAGGGCAGAAATTATGTGGTATTAAAACTGCACATCAATACATGAACCAGCATAACAAGCATATTTATGAGCAGATCACTGCTCCATACTGAGCTCTGGCAAAGCCTCCAAAGCCTGCTGGGCATTCTGCAAGGCAGCATGGTTACTGTTGTGGGGCCTTACTGGCCTTGCCCTATAACTTGTGTAGTCAGACATGGTATCGCTTTTAAAATACAAGTCTGCATTCACCTCCCACACAACAGTTACCAAGTGTGACCATTGGATCTAACTATATAGCGTGGTAGGGAGCTATAAAGATGACAGCCAAGCTACTGGTCTTTAAATTCTTGTGACACCAACATTCCCAGCAGAAAAAATTCAGGACGAGCTAATCACAACAGTTCTTTGGGTTTAATTGTTCTTGTCTCTATCTTAGATCCTTTTTTTTACTCCATCTATTTTTACTCCATTGTAATGCAATGGCCTTCCCCCCTTTTTATTTTTTGCACTTTTTATCTCTTCTGAAGACTAAAATTTCTTGCCCCTTCAATAGATTTTGCTTTCTTGAATTTTATTTTTAGTTCTGTTTCCCCCCCTCATTTGTTCTCTGCAATCAACCATATTAGTATCTTGCTCCTCACTTTCAATTTCTAGCCCATCTGTGATGGACAACTCACCTTTGCACAGTATTCTGTACTTTGTCTTACAACGGGGAACCCCTGCACAACTGAAAAGAATTCTGAAGATTTGGGAAGGATAATGTGACATCAAGATGAAACATGAAGCGAATCTGTTGGGAAGATACTGGCTTCATACTGGAGTAATACACAGAACCCACAATCCTTTGCTTTGCTCTTGTCTCCCTTTCAATGGAAAGTGCCATCTTCTAAAACCAGAAACTAACTTACAGTTAAGGAATTATAGCTCAGACAAGACCTCAGATCTGTTTAAGATTGCCAGACCTTCAGAGGTCTGCCACATTTAGCTTTCACTGCAACTCAGAAAAAGCAGCATAAGCAACACAAAGTACCAGAAAAAAACAGACAGACATGCAGTTTTCTGGGATTTATTTCAGTGAAGGGTAAGAAACAAACTGCGTAAGTGATACTATGACAGCTGGGGGTGAGGAATAAAAAAAATCAAAATAAACAGCAGAAGAAGGAAGTTTGCTTTGAAATCTTTAGGAATTCAGCATTGATAGCTACAGAAAGACAAAGCAGGAAGACAAACACAAGACTCAGAATGGTATAGGGTGAGTGCATTATAAACCGTTCTTCTGAAAACGATGTCGTATTCAACTCAGAATTCTTCCCTCTTCCTGAATAATGAATGCACTGTACCTAAAAAAACCAGCCTTCAATATCATTAGGTACTCCCAGCTTTTTTCTGCCTTTTCAGTTGTTTGTATGTTCTTGAAAAATGTTATGCGAAGAACTGAAATAGGGATATTTCAGTAACTACTTCTTAGGGTTTTTTTTTAAAAAGCATCTTCTTAAATTAGTTCCAAGTGCTATTCCAGTTACCTGTGAGCTTTCTTTCTGTTTATTTTGTCCCTGAAGGTCTTTATCTCAAAAACACGGTGTACAGGTGTACAACTTGTAAGGGAAATCAGCTGAGGAACTACAGAGAAAACCTGATTTCCTTATCTGCATTAAATTTACTTACCAGCAAATGTTTGTTTTGTTGTTTTTTTTTTTGTTCCAACTAGAAAGATGAAGCTGGAATCTGGCTCATTCTCCCTCAGTGCATCATCTAGCCACTGTCTGAAATACAAAAGAGTAATGAGGGAATCAGTCAGAGGGACTGAGGAATACAGGGGAAAGTGACTGATAACAAGGTCACAAGAAAAGTGAGAGGATGAACCTATGTGAGATGATCAAAAGCCTTTTCTAGGCAGAAATAGACCAGGAGCTATTCCAACTCCTTTGAATACATGCCTTCCATTAATGAAAAGTTCAAACATGCCCACCACAGAGCATAAATTCAACAATGATTTCAGCACTCAGAGAGGGTATTTATCAATATAGGGGAGAAGGCAAACTTTGGTTTAGATAAGGAATAAAAAGAACAAGAAGCAGAGGAAAAGATATGAACAACATAGCACATTAGATATGAACAGGAATAAAGAAGAGTGAAATAATCTATTCAGCGTTATAAAACAGCTCCCTGTGAAGGCTGCATGATTCTTGTCTCCTAAGCTTTTATATTTCTGTTACTCTGGCAATCAAGTTCCTCTTGAGTCATCCGACACAAATCAAAGAGGGAAGAGAGTATGTGCGTGTGTGGGAAATCAGGATCACAGGCTTCAATTATTTTCAGCCAAGCAGAGACACTAATATATATATTATTTTACAAAGTCATATGCAAATGAGCTAAGTACAACAGCAGTAGTCTAAGAAAATAGTTACATATTCAAATCAGACAGAGTACAAGTTATAAAGAAATATGTACCTACCTTGCAGTCACAACAGTGTGTTAGAAAGATATAGGCTCTGAGCTGGTGACAACAATAGGGATCATAGAGCCAAGTTGGGGTTTGCAGCCTGCATTAAAAGCAGAACAAGTTTACTTAAAACAGTTATTGTGTAAGCAAACCATTACAAGTGCCTGAACCAATGAGTTCAGCTAGACCTACATATACTTTGAGGTTTTGATTTTCTCTCCTCTTTTTGACAGCCTATCTCCCAAAAGAATCACTACAGAAACTAAAGAAAGAAAATTCTGGGCTAGCAGTTTATCTAAAGACAGGCTCTTGAGACATTATGCATCTGATGTATCTATCTATCTCGTCCATTTCACTATTTATCTTATTCTCCACTGACCATAAGGGAAGGCAAGGGTAAGTAGTTTAAATTTATGCTCTGCATTTTCTCTACAAAAATCCCATGCTATGTAATCCAAACAAGTGACTGTCACTCTTCATTTCTTATTTCATTAGAAAATACACTCATGATCCAGCTAGTTCTTAGCAACTACAGACTATCCAAGGTGTTTAAACCTGCTGCAAAAGCTCTAAAGCCTAAGCCAAAATATAGAAACTTATTTGATGTGATCCAAAGTCTGGATATCAGCCAGATCAAACACTGTTATTATAAATGCAGTAAATGACAAGAACAGAGAAAAAGTAAGTTAGAAAGTGTGTCAGAATTCTTTCCAACTCATTGTGTTAAACAGAGAGGATGCTTACATATAGGGTGCAAGAGCAGATTCAACACAGAGTAGGTGGAAGACTACTCATTTGCTCCTTCCTCTTCCTTCTCTAGCACCCAGTAAGACTGCATTATCAGTCTTCCACCTTGTTTAGTCTTTGACTGCAGTCTATAGTGCTATTGTTCCTTTTAGCTTTTATTTTATAAATGGACCACTTAATTTCTGCAGGAATTAACCTCTTACCAAAGGGAATGCCAGAAGTATTCTATATTCTGTCTTCAGCAATAATCTTACCCAAACCCAAATTCTTTTCCCCTAGACACAAGTGAAATTTTTATAACTGAACATCAGAACATTCAGAGCTTGCAGGTCCAACAACATATCAATTCACAAACCTTTTAGTCCCTTCTCTCCAATAAAGGACAATCCATTCCACCACACTGTGTCTACAGGCACCCTCCCAAGGAGCACATACGCATATATGTTTCTGTATAAATTACAACCTCTTGTCACAGCCAGGATCAAAGTAATATTGTTCTCACCCACTGCTCCTTGGTAGTAAACAGATGCAATGCACTTGAACTTCTCCTGACCTGCTGTGTCCCATCTGTGCAATGAAGGGAAAAAAAAAATTTCAGGTTAATGAAATCCAGTGTAACCTGAGTAAACATGCAGCAGACTGGTACAGGTTGGAGAAGAATGTGGTACCAGAGAAGTGCTACCATCTGGAACATGTTATTAATTAACTACTGATAAAAATACAGTAAAGCTCTATTATTTAATGAAGACATTTGAAATCTATTTTTACCTCTTTTTTACATACGTATTTGTCATTTTGGAGATACAGTTCAAATATTTGTATTCTGTATGGTAATACCCTTCTCTTAAAAACTTTTTCCTCATCTATGTAATTTGTATGTATTTCTAGGGCAATCTAATTTTGAGAATTTTCTGTGCTAATACCACCTAGATCATATATTAGCTCATAGAATCTTAGAATCCTGCATTTGCTAGATATGACATCTGTCCATACACTAGAAATTAGAGACCTATACCTCAGTTCACCAGGTACCAATGACACCCTTAAGGAAAACAAACAGTGTGCTTTTATTGATGAATATGACATGCAGTCTTCTCAGCTACTAATGGCACTACAGAGGCTTGGGATTTTGTTACAGACTAGTGCTGCCAGTCATCAACACTTGCAAGTTTATCTTGTATAGAGATCTCTCAGCAAGAGGGGGCACTAGTGCTTATCATATGAAAATGTTCTACCCAGCCACTGAAGATGCTGCAGATAACACAACCTGACATTTAATAGCTCATAAACCTTATTCCTTCAGCTTGCAAAATACTGATACATCAGTCTAGATCTTTAGAGGGACTCAAGTTCCAAAAAGATAGTGCCTGCTAGAATTTTCAGAAACACTGTGACACTAAAATCAGTTGGAAATGGTTTCATAGAATGGTTAGCATTGGAAGGGATCTTAAAGCTCACTTAATTCCAACCCCCTGTCACAGGCAGGTTCACCTTCCAGTAGACCAGGTTGCTCCAAGCCCTGTCCAACCTGGATTACTAAGTATGTTTCAATAAATCCTATTAGCATCTATCTACATTAATGATCTCAGAAAAATATGTGCTCCTAAGTAAACACATGCACTAAAATATTTCCTGCAAAGCATTTTATTTCTGCTCTAGGTCACAGTACAGCATAGATGATTCAGAAATGCCCTCTACAGAACATTACTGCTAGCCACCGGAAATAGCAAAGGACATCCTTCAGCAGAGCCAAGCAGGTGAGAGAAGGACAGGATTGCCGCTAGTCTGATAAACAAAGCTGAAAATCAAAGATTTTAAATCCACATTCTAGTAAAAATCCAGTCTTTCTATGACTTGGGGAAAAATAATTAGTCCCTAAGAAAGAGATGCTGAAATCACTGAACACCTTACCATTAATTTCAGTGACTGCAAGAGTTAAATTCCCGGTAAAGTCAAGTTCAGTGCTCATTGTACCTACTAAACTCAAATGACAGAATGGTGTAACAGTGGACAAAGTCTGTGGAAAAGCTTCCACTTTTGCTTCAAGGAATTTGAATAAAATAGGCAGAACCACTCTGAAATGGTGCATGACATCCAAGATTTTAATTGACAAATGACATTTCATTTTTTACAGATAAGAAATTCAAGAGAGTAAACTTTTTTACTAAAACTGCAAGTAAAAACCAGGTACAGAACCTGGTTTTCAGATCACATTATTCTTTGTGCAATTATACTATTAAAAAAAATAATAATAATAATCTTCATTCCACTAGATCCTGCAGCAGTTCAGGCTCTGCTGAGATTGTACTTTGTGCAATGCTTGACCATGCTGTGTCAACTTACATCTGGACAGCAGATGATACTCCAATTATTTCAAAACGTTCCATTTCAAAATCCACTTCATTGGTAGCCTTGTAGCCTCAGGCAAACTTCTTTCTAAAATCTGCAATTAAAACCAATGATGAAATACTAGTAACACCCAGCTACAAATAAGGGCAAAACTAACACTCTCTTGGGTAAATTATGAAGAAAAGAATTAACTAACTGTGGATTTGCTAAATATTGCAAAAGCATATATAAAGACACCAAGAAACTGATTTTAAAAAAGGAGATACTGGGTAACAAACTAGAAAGCATGCACGTCTAGTGAATAATTACTCAAATGATTAATCAATGAAATTAAAAACTTACCATATCTAGGTAAAAACATGGCAGAAATAATATTAATAATAAAACACAAACATAGAAAGTTGTCATGATGATTATAACATACAGAAATTCAGTGATCTGTTCACTGGACTTAAATACAGAAACAGTAAGAGCTGGTTTTAACATCCAGTAAAGAATCAAATGACTATTCTTCAAAGCATTCTGAATTTTATCTGTCTTATTTCATAAACTACAGAAAGACTCCAGCTTCCTCTACAGCCTTGCAGGTGTAGAAATGAGTTCAGGCACACTCACAACAATGACTTAAAAATATTTTCATGAACCACCCTTTAAGTAAAGAGAAAACATGAAGCCAAGACTCAGAAACTGGGAAGATTCTTACTTATTTCTTTTCGTACCTTCTAATCGTTTAGCCTTTAGAATGGATTTCTTAAGAAAACACTGTACCATATTTGACTGGATAAAAATAGTTCAAAATATAGCATATTTTGATTGAAGTTCCAGAGCTTGGCTTTCTGTGTTGGCATATCAAGCCTGTTGCATACCCTAGACTTTGTTTTGGTTTTTATTTAATAACAAAATCATGGTTCAAAAGAGAACCATGAGCTAGTACCCTGAATGGACAGGAATAGAAACATTATAACATTTATTTGAGATAAAGCAGAACCAAACTATCTGCTGAGATACACTGTACCTGTGGATAAGGCTGGTTTTCCCAACATACATGTGGTCTCCTACCTATCCAGACTGTTATAAATATTTGAAAAGATTACACATTTTTAGTAGTGATTTCAACATTGTCTCTCTAAAAATTCTGATTTCAATCCTTAAATTGCAAGCAATGAGCACATTTACCTGTGACTCCAATTTACCTAAATGACGCTGTGTTGTAGAATTGGTCTTAAAGCCAAACCCCTCTGGAGCTGAAATAGTCAGTTTCTTAGTCTGCATATTTTTTCTTAAATATAATCATTGGGACCTAAATTCTATTCTATTCAAATTGCTTTGACTGCAAGTATATACATTTATAAATAAGACCATAAAGTATCTACATCCTTTTCATTAAAATTAATCACAATTTTTTCATTGACTTTAATAGTACAATTCAAGTCCTAAGTGCAGAAACAAGAAATTGCTGATAATAAAATACCCACTACAGAATTTGTCTCTGGGGAAAAAAAAAAACCCACGTGGTTTGAGCCAATGCATTTTCTGACTATGTAGAATAATATTAATCTGAAGTTGGCTTCATGCAAATAATCTGCTTTGCTCTGGGTCCTCCCACAGAATATAGCAGATGGGCTTTAGGTGACTCAGCTGCATTCTTAAAATTGAAGTGTAGTGTATCTTTTAAGAGATAAGGTGGTTAAATGAATATATTTGTTGGCATAAACTTGGATTGACATCTCCTATGCACATGCGACAAAAATGGCTTAAGAGGGTTAATGTTCTTTTGTATAAAGGAATGGCTTTTTTAAACAGATCAGTTATTTTACTGAACACTATTTCTGGTTATATTTGGCTTCTATGTGATACTGATTCCAAGTTACCTATTCTAAATAGTCCAAACCTTGACTGGTAAATTACATGACTAATATTGTGCGCCACTCAATATTAACTGGGTGGCCACAGCTGACATGTCTGTGCCTGATTAACTGTTATTGATGAAATACTGAATAAAATCAACAGCCTTAAGGGAAAAGCAAAAAAGTGACTGATGGTTTAGAGGTGTGTGTTCCATTAATTCATACTGGGGGAAAAAAGCTCCCTGGATTAGGCAATTTAACACACTGATGGAATATCAAGAGAGTCTTAAAATACATCCATTAGCTACTGAATTTATCAGACTACCTTTCCAAATGACAAAGGAATTGGGATAATGGAAAATTAAGATAATGGCTATTGCTGTCAAGCTTTACAGTTACTGTACAAAATACTCATAGTTGTCTGTCCCTCCTACCCTGGCTCCACCAAAAAGGTGACCAAATAATAATACCTAGAGAGCAATGACAGGCAAGTCACAAAGCCAAAATGTAAAGCTCTGATATCAGAATAAATGAACTGGAGAGCTGGTTTACACTGCTTACAGAGAGGAAAATGCCTCAATTTACTAAAGTGTGTCTTGTTAGCAAAATTGTGTGGACACTTATACCAAATTTATATGACAGTGTAAACTATGACAGTGACTATGCTTGCTTCTAAAAAGCAATAAGCTCACTGATGTCTCTCAGGGAGACATATTTTGGCCTTTTCCCCCTACCCCCCCCCCCCCAGTGAAGTGAATAAGAAGTTCATGACAAATTTTGTAGTAATCAAAAATTCTAGATTTGAAGGAATAGTGAGTTAATTGTCAGTATTCATAGGAGCTCCACTTTATGAAAGATCCTGCACACTGGAACACAGAAACATTTATCACTAAAAAATACAGCTATTTATTTTAAATGAATAGTGATAATTTCTAACAGTTAAGCTTTCTAGCCTTACTTCAGCAATTAAATCAGTATTAGTAACAGTTCTTGGAGAGAGATAATCTCTTACAATCTTACCCAGTGCTCTGCTGACAAGCCATCCTCACCTCTGCATGGAAGTGCTCTTTGAACTGCAAAGAGGCCTCAGGTGTGTACCATTGAAAACAGGAGAGAACAGCTGTTGGGATAAATCGTGTGATGCCTACTTTGCAAAAGTCCTATCAGCAAGGAAAAAATAGATAAGAAGATTAATTCAAAGAGTTTGTCAAGCACAGGGATGTCCTGCCATAAGAGAAGGGATAGCTTGGGTTACAAAGCAGTAAAGCCTTCCCACAGCTATGTTTGTAAAACCACCTTTGGGAGGATGCCACCAGCAAGTCAGAGTGAAGTCTTTTAGATCCCTTACATGTGTGAAGCACTGGTTTTATTGCTAGCTTTTAATTAGACATTCGTTAAAAATGAGGAAAACTTATTTTATATTTGCTTAAAATAACTATGATAGTTTTCCTGAAATTAAAAGCAAAATATGTGGCTAACACCAGGCATGGAAAAAAATTGCTGACTCCCTTATAAGGATCGTTTGATCTACTGTATGACTAAGGTTCCTATGCAAAGAGAAAATTAAAATTGCCTCAATTCTTCAACCAAAACCTCCATATGGATCTAATTAGATTCTTTGCATATTTGATACCAGCTACGGTTCTTATTTCCCCTCAGCATAGGAACTCTTTAAGCATGGACTCAATGTTTGGCTGAAATAATAAGATAGGTATTATAAGATAACACTTTATCATTAATATATCAGCACTGAATGGCAACATGAGGCCACATTCATCTTTAAAAGAAATCCTTATAACAATTCCTAATTTTAGCAGATGACAACTGTACATTAAATTAAAATACTATTAGCAGGAGGGAAACAATGTGGCAGGTGCTACATACTGTGAGCAGAGGGATAAAGAATACTTAACCTTGGGAAATCAGGAGAGTATTCTGTCCCTGCTTACTGGGGGGACTAAATGCATTAGGTTGGACTTCATCCTCCAAATTCAAGTCAACTCTACTAGACAGGAAATACATAAAGAGAAACATAGTTTTCAGGAATTGCTTCAATACAGGGAAGACTTGATTGAAAAATAACAGTTCTTACAGGCTTATAATCTTTTCTCACTGCAGTACAACTGGTTTGTGTTAAATAAAACCTGTTTCTTATGCAAAAGGGACCACTTCAGGGTGCATAGCTGTAGTAACAAACAGTGGCTTTCTGAAACTACAAGGCATGAACTGTAATTCCGTGGGAGAGCAGATAATTAATTCAACATAAGTGCTTGCAGTTTAGCCTTCAAAGGATTTTGCAGAGTTTAATTTAAAAATCTTGCTCATCATCATTTGAAATACACCTGCACAAAGGACATTAATAAATGTTAGGGATACCAGATTTCGTTTGGTCAGAAGAAGGGAGGAAAGATGAAGCTGTCACTTTTCTTGGCACAGCATCGAACTTTCATCCAAGATCAGCTCAGAAAGAATGGAATCAGTAGATAGGCTAACTTGGAAAAAGAATAATGTTCATATGAAAATCACAAATGCATTTAGATAACTCACTTGAGATGTATCAATTTGGTTATGCAATGATACCTCGTGGGTTGTTGGGGGAGGGGACCCTTAATAGCATACCAATTTCTTGCTGGCATTCGAAAGAATGTTTCTAAGAACATTCATCATGTGGCCAAGTATAAGGAAGGACTCACCGTGCAGCAGCTGATGCAGCAGGATTCCAGCCACACAAACAGCTCAGCCTGCTGCTGTGGCCATAGCAACAGGCTCTCAACAGTTCCCTTCCTTCCCTTCTTTTACAGATTGGGAAGGTGGGGTTGGAGTAATTTAACTATATGTAAGGCCCTAGTTTTAAAAGGACATACTGGTTTTAGTGGCCGTATAGATTCCTGTGATCAGAAACTGCTTCTTAATAAATCCAGTGGTACCTGAATTCTCTGTAAGACAATAGTTCTGTTTTCTTCAAAGATAATTGTATATATGGATAGAAAGAGCAGGATTAACTCAACAGACAAGGAACTAATGGAGTGGGGAACTGTTACAGTGCTAATATTAAGCTTAGTAGCAATTATAAAGCAACTCCTGAGGGAGTTTCAGAATTTCAACTTTGTTTCATCTTAGCTTTAGCATCAGGAGACTCGTGCCACTAATGAGACATTCTGAACTGTATAGATGTCCTTCTAGTCAATAGTAATCTTGCTTTCTAATGTACCAAACACTAAAGACAAGGAATAAGAAATCACACAGCTCTTTTGTATTGGCTAAGTATTGTTAACCAACTCATTAGTTTAGACAGCACTTAGTATGCTAGCCTGTAATTTAAGATGCCAAAAGATTTTCCTATTTATTTACTATTATTTAAATTTCCAAATTTCAAGACAAAAGAAAGCTCTCACATTCTAATATTTGATAATGCTGGAACAGTCTTGGACCTCATAATATTCAAGAGATAAGCCTCTCTCATTCATGCAGAAGACTAAAAAAGTTAAAAGGGCAAATCAACATGGACAAGTAATTTTAAACAATGATAAGTATATAACAAAACCCCTACAGCTGTGTTTTACAACACCACTAAGAATAATTTCAACAAAACTGCCAGTCAACTACTTAGAATTGAAGTTTTATTCTCTTTTGTGAGGAATTGCTTTTAAATCACTTCAGACACCCATGTGATCTCAACCATACTGAAACACCCTATTCTCCCCAAGGAATCCAGATTTGCAGCTAATGGATTATTCACCAAAGAAAGTGACATCACAGTATTTATTTATCACCGTATGCATAGTTCTGCTTATCATGCTACTTGTGACTGTATAAAATTAGTGAGAGCTAGGCCCTTTTTATGCTGTGGCTCCTGCCCTTTGGCAAATTTGAATGATTTTACGGCAGTGTCTTAAAATAATAGTTCTGAAAACAAAAACTCTACCACTTGGTAAGAGTTTCAAACACTAAGCTGCTTTCTCCATATTCTCCTAGTTCAACACATCCTAGACACATATAAACGTGTCATGTATCCATAGGTTGACTCACTTCCTGTCTCCTAGAGTTCTGTCACAAACTAAGCTACAAAAGAAAAGTAAATAAAATCAATTAAACGATCTTAGTGAATCCAAAGTATAGGTGGGACCAAGGCAACCAAACAGAAACATCTTCACTTACATTTAGTGTATTTAACACATAAACATATCCCAAATCGGGCACACCATTAGAGGGAAATCAATCATTTCAAGGGATCAATTATTTTAGAAATACGAAGCTGCTAAAGATACTGAGTATTATCAGTACTGAGATCCAGATTTTCTCTTCTTACAAAGCTGAAGGAGATTCAGTCACCAGGAGGGACTGGAATACAGTGTCTCCATGGCATCACAACGCTCCTGACATCAATTTTGCAGGAACAGGAGCACCAGCAGATTCTGTAGTTAGCCAAAGAATTTGAGGAAGGCATTCAGTAGCTGTACATAAAATAAGTTAACATCGTGACCACTAACCAAAATCAGTATTCCAAGCTATGGTGAAGAACAAGACAGAACAACTCATGCCAAAAGGATGAGAGCAGAGTTAACACTGAAGGACAAGAGAGGTCCCTGATCTTCTGCCCCTTCTGTACTGAGAAATGTTCATGTTCCTCCTATTGAAATAGGGTGAAACTTTACAAACATATAGCTAGTGAAAGTCTAACCTAATTCAGGAAAATAAACTCTACTTTAAATAATCTCCTCTAAAATGTTGTAGAAAAAATGAATCCTCTCCACAAAATACTTTTTAAACTAATAGTTTTTCTTTTATGGATTTTGAAGATCAACAAACCATAATCTATTCCTGTGCTGCATTTTAATCCAACTGATCTGAACGACTTTGGCTTTGTAAAATCCAGTTTAAGAACTTGATTATAATTGTTACTCAAACATAATGGAAAACATCTCAATAATTTGCTTATTTATGCTGAGAACTGACCTTTTATAGCTGTTCAGAGTTGTTTTTTCCCTCATGCCCGATCACATCTGACCATCCAAGGCACCCTTAAGGTGTAATGACAGCATTACAGTTATGTTTTCCCTGTGCACAATCCTCAGACTATACTTTTTAGCAGAATGATACTGAAAAAGATGGCCAAATCATGAAGACAGTTACATGAAACTACCTCATGATAATGGAACCCCCTGCTACACATTCTAGCTCCTTAGTGGAAAGCTACTGAGCTCCCTTCAACCCTTGCACCTTAAGGCACTCTCACCTGCTACACCTCTGCATTAGCCCGACCACCATTTTGTTCAATCCGATTTTTTTCCAGTTGTATTCAACTGAGATTACTTTTAAAACGGCGGGTGAGAAGAGAGCCTCCCTCTGCTAAAAGCAGAGCGGGGACGTAAAACGGCCTCCACACTGCAACCCCCGCCCCGACGTTCCCTCTCTTCCTCACCCGCCCTCTCCCCTAAGGGGCCGCGCCTCAGCCCCGTCCCGCGCCTCAGTCCCTCCACGCGCAGCGCTCCCCGTCCCGCGCCAGCAGCGGCCCCGGCTTCCAATTCACCAACTACGCCGCTGACGCTGCTCTCTCACAACAGCTACCGTCAAACGCGGTATCTCCGCTGTTGACGTAGGATAAGACTCTGTATGCTTGGCTGCGTTATTCTTATTCACGGAGCGGGATGTTGCGGTAACTAGAGCCTGTTGCTGTGGTAACTAGAGCACGCGGGCGCGGAAGCGCAGCGGGCAGGAGCTGCGGCGCGGGAAGCGGGACGGGCTGAGGCGGTGACATGTTGGTGGGACAGGGCGCCTTTGATTATTTAGTCTATTTTGTTTTGAAGAGAGAAGTGCAGTTGTTCAGCACTTGTTTGAACTTTGCAGCTGGGTTTCTCTTCGTTGTTTTGGCAGAGCAGTTCGCCGCGCTGGCGGTTGTGTTTCTGTCAGCTGCGCCGTTTTCCTTACTGAGAGAAGGGGGAGGTCGGCCGTTACCGATTCTGTCAAAAGTTAACGGATTCTGAGGGCGGGTTTAAAAAAATGGTTTTTTTTTAAAAAAAAAAAAAAAACCTGACCTTTTGCTTGCTTTTGCTTTATTTTTTGATCCCCTTGTCTGGTTCAGGACATTGAACTACTTCACTTTGATGCTTTGAAAAACATTCCCTCTCTCACCTTGCAATATTAAGCTTGCTTTCTCTCTCTCTTCCCCCTCCCCTCTTTATTATTTTTTTTACAGTGCAGAGAATTAAACCAGAGAAGACAATTCAGCTGATGAACAGACATTAATGCTGAGGACCACAAACCATTTCTGCCTCTTTCATAGCTTCCTAACAATGAACATGTGCTAAAGTAGCTCTTCTGGGACACAGAACACCATAAAAAGTCAGTAGTAGTCCTTTTGGTACATTATCTGTCCAGTCACCACGTACAGTCGTTCTGGAGTAGTTTTAGGGAGAGGGAGAATCCTTCCCAGGAAAATTCAGGATGGCACATGCTCGTATATCAGCCAACCTCCCCCCTAATATAGATCCTACAAAAGCTCCTATTGCTTTTGGAAGGAGGGCCCTTCCTAAACTGAATGAAGAGTTACAGTCTCCTGAGCTGCTGACTCAGCAGCGGGCATTGATGGCGCTCTGCGATTTGGTCCATGACCCACAAAAGGTCTACCAGGCACTAGAATTAGGTAAGTGATCTGTTGTCATAAGCTTTGACACAGGGGGAAAGGGGAAGGCACTTTTGTGCACTACTTTTCTCCTTGTACTACCTTTGATGTCACAAAATGGCCATGAAGTTTTTCCTATTTTAATCTCTTTTAAAAAGGTAAAAAATATTACAATGCCATATGCATAACGATTATTTAAAGAATATCCTCACTTTAGGATTCATCAATGGCCCACTAGAAGTTTTAGCACTCCCTAAATACAAAAGTAGTGCAGAATCTTTTTTTTTTCATTTACACTGAATTTTATTTAAGTCTGAACGCAGTCTAATAATATGTATCTATAAAAAAACATTAATCAGTCCAAAGTTAGAAACACCACCCCCTTGTTGCTTAGTTAAATCTCATTTGCCTGGAATCTTCTCCAATCCTGTTTTCCATGAACCTTTCAGAAAAAAAAAAAAGTGATCCTATGAAAACTACTAAATACATTTTATTTAGAAAGAGGAAAATAAAAAGCTTTTAGTTATCCTAGAGCAAGAAAAAAAGCAAAATCACCTTTTTTTCTTTTCCCTGCATTCAACATTTTTTACCACATATGACTCAGGAGAGTGGTACTCCACCGGATTTTTCATACTTGAGGTGCTCAAAATACTCATATCTCAGATCCCATAATAATAAGAGGCAAAAAAAACCTTCGATGAACCTTTAAATTTATAATTAATAAAATAATATTTAAATAAGCTTTACAAGTTCATTTGCAAAATCCATTAAATCCTGTTTTGTCACTCATTCCTTCAGCAGTGGACAGCATGGCACATCCAGATATAACTTTACCAGAGACAGAAAATATCGGACCTTTTTATGCATAACTCCTTCTCAGAACTCTCTTAGTGACTGTAGGATGAGTCTATAGCAAAAAACAACCCTGAAACTTCATGAGAATTTAAGATACAAAAGAATATGACCAGATCTCTTATACTCATCAGGATTATATCTGGCCACCACCATTTTCAGAGGGCTTTATCTGAGCACTTGGAAGACTCTTAAGTGTGGATTTTGGAGAAGAAAAAACAAAACAAAACAAAAACACCCACCCCCCCCCAAAAAAAAAAAACCCACAGCTTATCTTTGTAATTTTTAGCAGTCTCTTGTTAGTAGGTAACACAGAAGTCTTCCAGTTTGCCACTGCTTTTTTCTCCATTTACTTAATATTTTTTTCCTCATAAAAGATACCAATAATCATGTTCAAAATGTATTGTTATTTATTGATCAACAGTAGCTGCTGAAGCAATGCGAGATTGTTGTTTGGGTTGTTTTCCTTTGGTCAATGCTATGTATGTATCCACATAATCATTAATGGTTCACCTGTTTCTTTCCACATGTGAAAAGCAATGCTGTGTGTTTATACATAGCACATGGTACACCTAAAGAAACCTTTAAAGAAACGTAGGCATCAATCCTGCAAACATATGCTTTTTGAAAAGCATATTTGTATTTCATGAATATCTCCACTTCTTTTTAGAGTTATATTGCTTCATAAATATTTGTAAGATTAGAATTTAACTTGATACAGAAGTCAGCAGCTTGTTTGTAGCATAGCATTGTTGACAGTAGGCCTTGACACTCCAAAGTTTGCTCCCAAGTTGAGATAAAACAACAAGAGTTTAATTGTCAGAACAAGATGAAAAAATTCTGATTATTTTCAGTTCAAATTGTGATATAAAAATCATTATTGATATTTAAAATTAATGCTGAAGGTAAGAAATGTTAAAATGAACTATTGTGTCTCATAGGAGTTTTGAATAACCTGAAGACTTTGCTGGTACATCAGGACAGTACTGTCCGACAAAAAACAACAGAAATCCTCCATATAATGACAACACATAATGTTGGCAGGTAGGTCTAATTCCAGAGTTTACTAAACAGTAAGGGAAATGATAATTTTCAGTGTGAAAGTTTTTACAAGACAGGTGCAATGAAAATAAGATTTAGCATTTCACAAATATATATGATTTTTATTATGCTTAATTAAATCTTTTCTCCAATGTTGTTTGCAGGCATGGGCTGATACAAAATGGAGTGATTTCTGCCCTTGCTGAGCTCTTGGATGATCCAGTAGATATCTGTCGGAAGAACACACATCTCGTTTTTGAATATATGTCAAAATTAACTGAAGGTAGGGATTTTTTTCAGCATTTAAGTATTCAAATAGGCAAAGAAAATAGGTAAGTTTACCTGATTCCCTATGCAATATCTTCCAGATTAATTTTATTCAATTTTATTTGAAAAACAGATTTTAAAACAGTATCTTTTCTGTCTTTGCTTGACCAAATTTTCTTTAGTTAGTTTTTGTATGAGAATTTATTCTTTGGGTTCTGTCAGAAAACTTTAAAAAGTATGACTGTCACCTTTTTTATTGGTGGAGATAACTATAGTTTCTAGAGCTGTATTTGAAAATTGTGTAATAATAGTGAGACTACTTTGCCAAAATACAGAAAATGCATTATATAGATAACAAATTAAATGCTCCATGTTAACATAACACATCTGCGAATAGTCCTGTCTATGTGCTGGGGAGATTGATCTGGATAGATCTGTTAATTTTTTTAGGTCTTATACAAGCTAAGTCTACCTGCTCAAGATACAGGTTGTGAGGACTGCAGGCTTGAATTCATATTTCAGAATCTGGCGTCAAAAATTCACTTTTTCCTCTTCTGTTCAAAATGATGATCAGCTGCTCATCATGGCACACTAATTTCACAGTACACAGGGTTCGTAGGAGGTTTTTCTGGTGTTTGTTAGAAAGTACAGATTTTGTGGAATGTCTTCCCTGATGCTTGCAACCACTGGTATAGAAGGATGCAAATGAGCAAGTAAGTGCACAGTCCATTGCACTGTGTATTCCACAGATAATGTATTCATGTGCCTTTGACCTTAGGCTCATAGGCACCTTTTCTTAAATGTACACTTTGACATTGCTTTCAAGTGGTGAACTAAAAAAACAATCCACACACACCCCCCCCCCCCAAACAACAAAAAAACCCAACGCACACTTGTGGGTGATGCAAGGAACAATGAAGAAGTTTGCTTTATCTGATTATTTTATTCAAATATTGTTTGTATTTATTATATTATTATAATTTTTTTTAAATTTTTTGCAAATTTTTAAATTATCTTGTTAAGGTACAAAATTAAAAATGTGACCAATTACAATTAACTTTAAATGTCAAATTGAGCTAGTCATTCTACACTCCCTGCATAGCAGGCATAAAATCAGTATCTAAATGAACAAAAAGTCTGACATATAGGTGCTTAGTATGAGTTCTGCTCTGGTGATGTCCATTTATCTCCGGTGAGATAACTGGAAGAGTTAATTACATCAGAATTAGGCATCTAGCTTTTAAATGCTTCAGAATAATAGAGGAATCCAAGCTGAGAATTTGTCTTTGACTTGTCAGAAGAATAGGTTGTTGTACCTTTTACATATTTTCTTTATTATGTGTATTTATAGTTTTCCAAATATTTTATGCACTAAGGGAATTTATGCTGGTTTGTTACTTTTATTTCCAGATTTTATTACCGTAATTTCAATAGTTTTCTAATTTGAGCATTAGTCTTAAACTTTTCCAGTTTATGAAAATTATAATTTTAAAATTTAAAATTTCAGTAGATAGAAATTATCAATTGAAAAGCTATACTATGTAAATTCATCAGGAAGTATCTTGTCTGATAAATTCCTGGAGCTTAAAAAAAGAATTAAATGAATACTTAAAGCCTTGCTGAGTGAATATACATGAATTAAAAAAATAAAAAGATGTATTCTTACATGCATACAGCCCTTTCTAAAGTTCTAAATAACTAAATCATTATGAAGGATGTAAATACGGTGGACTGAACAACTTTGTTATCATCACTATAGAAAACCAGTTAAGTTCCATAGTGATTTTACAGATTTTCAAATCAAATGAGGCCAGGACTTGGCTTACGTATATTTTGACCTGACTGCCTTTAAACAGTTCTGTCCCTTACCTGTGTTAGGCAGATACTGTCCTGTGAACATGTGGATCACAATAGAAACTTATGGGAGAAGAAAACATTATAGAAGTAAATAAACATTGCCAAATTTTTGCAGATGACTGGTAACAGGGAAACTACCTTAGAGTTTGGTGGCTGCTGTACCATTTTATATATAAATTTAATGTAAATTACAACTAATATTACATGTAAATGCCTGCTTTTAGGTTCTATCTCACAAAACTCAGAGCATTTACTAAGTAGGTTGGAAGTTTAGCTACATAATCAGAAAATATTCACTGAAGGATTAATAAAAGTTTGGGGTGAGGGGTTGGAGGAAACAGTCTTTATGGAAACTATCCATGTGGCTCTGAGAGGACGTGAGAACCTTTTTTTTTCCCCCCAGTGTTTGCAGTAAGACACTAGCATTTTATTAGAACCATTTTTTCTACTTAAGAGACTTACTGTAACAGTAAGCAATGCTAAGCTGTTAGTGTGCCAAAACATAAAGTATTGCATATTAAGAATTCTACATAAATCAAAATACATTGCCCAAACCAGAGATTATTTAATGGTACACCATACTGCCACACAGGTCTACACCCATTGCTCCATCTTTGGCCCTTCTGACATCTGAATATAGCCTCTTGGGTCAGGAACCACTGATGGGAACTGTCACAACTATAAAACCAGTATGGTGATAATCAGGAAGTGCGAGATTATACTATACAAGGAGAAAACAAGTTGCCTCCTGCAGTGGAAGGATTATCCAACAACTGCCAAGCTGAAGCTGAGAGCCAGCTGCAGCAGTTTCTCTCCTCAAAACCTTGCCTTTGAAGGCAAAGGATTTACAACAGCTCTGAAGTGAGCAGGAGCCTCTGCCAAACAAAAAGCAGCTTCCAAATCTTGTAACAGTCCTAGCCTAGCGAAAGTTACCTACATGTACAAGAAAAGCTGCAGCTCTCTTAGTGGTAGTTACTTTTCAACAAGGCTTCTCTTGAGCTAAGACTGATACCAGTTTCTTCCTTTTATGTCTCCCACTTCAGGTACTGATGGCAGATAAGGATCAGATTTTCCAAATCAAACTAACACAAGACTTGTTTCAGGGAATGGTTCTGGGGTTTTTTTTTGAGTCCAAAAAGCAAAAAAGGGTAATTAGTAGTATGAAAAGAGAGCATTTAAATAATTGTAAAATTAGTTATCTGGTAAAATCTGTGCATCAGTGTCTTAATTGCAATTTCCTTTTAAACTTCAGGAGAATTGCTTTATTTGAAACCTGCTATTTATGTCTGTTTTGAGTAATTTTTTGCCCCTTCATTAATTCTCGGTGTTTTGCTGTGATCTGTGCTATATGCATGTAGGCCAACTTCTTCCCTATTTTTCCCTCCTTCTCTTCTATTTATAAGAAATTAAAACTGAATGTAGAGGAACCGTTTACATCTGTGAAGCAAGCAGAATTTATCTGATCCTATATTCAAATCTCTCGGAGAGCATGATGTGTCTAGCAATCTCTTTATAGCTTGCTTGAGTCATACCTTTCTAGGTTGAATTCTCTTCCAAAACTTAATTTCTTCAGCTATAAAATCATGCCGAATTTTGGCCATTTCCCCTGTCAATGTTTGCGCTATTAAAATCCTCCAAGGCTTCTTCAGGATAGAAGTCCTTGACAAGTTTAAAATAGTCTTGCATAGCTTTCTTCAGACCAGATTTTTATACAATATCCTTTTTGACAGTTTTGGGGGTGTGTGTACGTGAAAACCTGCAATCCTCAGCCTGTCATGTATACACAGTCTGTAAGATCAGTGGTGTACAAGCTGAGGAAGCACGTTGTCTGTGAAAGCATTTCTGAGTAATTACCCTAGGAAAAAAGAGGTTTTATGAGCAATGTATTTTTTATTTAGATAAAAATATAACCTATATATAAAAATATACGTGCCTGCATTTAATAGTTGGAAGATGAGGCCTTGAGCAGAATTGAGTTACCATAGAATGGACTCACATACAGAATGCTGCATACAAGAAAAATAGAAATGTGGTAAAAATGTTTTCTTTGCTGTGAGGCAATTTGGGGAATTATCAGGGAGAACAGCAAATATTTTTCAATACGTAGTAAGAGTCACAAGGCCTGACGTATTTCATTTGACATGTTACAGATACAGAAATAGTCTCTGCCTGGTAATTCAGACTTCCTCAGCTAGCCGAGAAACTGTCTTCCTCTCTGCATTTACTTCTGTACCTCACATCCAGATAATGAGATAGAGTGTACCTTGTGTCAGCTTGAGGAAGTCAGCAATAATATACTATTCCCCAGCTAAATTTCTGATGTTTTCTAGAGCCGAGGTAATTTACAGGGCCAAGAATGCAGTATGTTCCACACTAGACAAAAAAGAACGTAAGATGTGCATCTATTTGGCATAAAACATAGTTGCTTTTGTTAGCTGGGATGTGGTCAGTGACTCCAGTTAGCTCTATGCCAGGCCACCTGGTATTTCTCTAAACAGGAATAATTTAGGAAAATGTGGTTATTTTAGTCAAATCCATTTGCAGACCATAATTTAAGGATGTATACCAGTATCTTTCAGGAACAGTGGGATCATTAAAAACTTTTGGTTGGGAAAATCCACAAAAACTGGGAGAACACCAAGGAGTAGTATTTCCAGAAGGAACAAAAACTTAGTGGCAAGAATTAACAGCAGAAGCACAATAAAAATAAAATGGATATATGAGGATAGAAGAGGGAGAAGAATGAGCAGTGGGGGAAAACTTAAGAACATTGGAAAAACTAATAGCAAAACTTGACACACAGTACTTAACGATATAAGCAAAAGGGTGCTATGCAATGATAAATGGCAATAGCAACAGCAAAAATAGTTCTAGGAAAAGAATATTTCACTAGAGTATGGTTAATACTGGAAAAGTTTAATAATGCTTACCCATTATCTAGCCTGTCTTTTATGGGTACTTAATCCTTTTTAGACAAAGATGGAGGTAGACTGGATGGGGCAATGGGATTTTAAGCTTGCTAGAACCTCTATTTGGGAAGAGTCCAAGAGATATTTCTCATACTTTACTGACTCAAAGTGTGTTCACTATTCCATCCTTGGAAAATCATAACCAATCAGATCTGTGATAAGGACTGTTTAAGGATACTTTATTCCCTTT